CTATGAATAAATTATAAATAAACTATAAATAAACTATAAATAAATTAATTAAATAAGTAAAGTAAAAGTACAGTAAAAAGTAAAGTAAGAAATCATAGATAGATAACAGGTAAAGTAAAAAGTAAAGGAATTATAGGGTTACGTATTTCCAGTCCATAAATTATTATTTAGATATTTATTAACATGATAAGCCTATAATCAACTCTCTAGATCATCGGGTGGCCATGATTTAAATAGATTTAAACACCCGCGAGATATAAAAAATCAATGATAAAATGGACAATCTTATTAGAAGCAATTATGAGGTTTCGTATTTCCAGTCCAAATTTTCTTCTTCAACATACATTATGTAAGAGCTAATCCCGTCTATTGCAGGTCTTTCTTTTGGCTTCAAATGTTATATAACTTATTATTCAGATATTTATTAACATGACAAGCCTGTAATCAAGTCTCTAGACCATAGAGACCATAGGATGGCCAAGAATTAAATGGATTTAAACACCCGCGAGATATAAAAACAATAACGATAAATGAACAATCGTTGTCAAGTACCGTTGCTATGATAATCCACGATCAACGATATATCTTCAGACAGCCTTAACTTCGTTCAGATTAAAGTATGTGATATAGTACCAAATAGTCCGGTCGCCAAACCCAATATTTCGAGTGAACCTGGAAATTGTTTACAAAGTTAATTTTATGATCAATTTTAGTAGCCTAGTGTGTCCTCTTTCAGAATCTGCCGAGTGAACCTCGGTCACCCTTGAGCGTTTTGAGAAATTCAAGATGGCGTCCAAGACGGCCGCCACTTCAAATAATCCCCTATAACCCCCATAGTATTTATTCTAGGATGATAATTTTGGTGTCTAACCGTATGTTTCTGGGGTCAAGGAATACACTGGAATCATTTATTATGTTGTGGGGGGTGGGGGGATTAGATGATAGTAAAATCTAAAATTCCAGACCGTAAGCGGTGGTTGAGGGCCATCATTTCACCAAACCAAACTAAACTATATCTAGAAACAAACTATATATTTCTGGATAAAGGAGCATTTGTCTGATACGATAACACCACATACATGCCTATGGGGTGGTCCTGAAAAGGAGTGGTGGGGGGGGCACACGCTATTTTTTGAACATTTAAAAAAACAACAAATTCTACCCACAAAACACGATAATAACCCCAACAAACTAGGCAACATTCAGTTTAATCCTTTAGTCGTGTTTCTGGCTTCAACCTGTGACAGCACAAGCGCAAAATACTGTAAATTCTAAGCCATCCCTGGTGCATCTACAAGTAAGCGTACTGCATGGGGTGTCACTATTGCATCCGCATCTGATTAGCCACATGACAGATCCCGGAGCAAGTTGGCCGGTTGTAATATTCTCAATTGAGTATCCTTCACCCAGCAATAGAGTTCCGGATCGAGTTCCGACTGAATACCATCTTCCAGTGAACACACTCAAGGGTGACCCAGGTTCACTCGGCAGGTTCTGAAAAAGAACACCCTTTGTATACAATTTCCAGACTCAGCCATAGTTCTGCCGGAATAAAATGATATGGTAATAAAGCGGGTTGTGGCTACATCTCGTGCATTATAGCACTGTGCAAATAACAACATATAGTTCTATAATAATCTAACTATCAGGCTACAACATTCAGGAACATCATATCTACAGAAGAGAGAGAGAGTGTGTGTGTGTGTGTGAGAACGGGAGAGAGAGAGAGAGAGAGAGAGAGAGTGTGTGTTTGTGAGTGAGAGAGAGAGAGAGAGAGAGAGAGGGGGGTCATTTCGGGACTAACAAATGGTTCAATTTTATTCCAATAATTCGCTTGCGCGTAGGGGTCTTTAGCAGTGGAAGGAAAACCGGATGACCTGGAGAAAACCCACGAGGTTGGACTGGCGATCTCACTCCCTGTCACGTACAGCCGGGGAATCGAAATCACACCAGTTGACTCATTGACAGACCTAATGATACAACACGCACGCGCTAACCATTCGCCCCCTCCTCCCCATATTATATGATAAAACATTATGATAAATATTAGCTCAGCAAAACTATTTTAATTTATTCTTTTATTCCAGCTTTTGCTGTCCCAAATCCCTACCCCCGAATAACAGCTGGAGGATGTGGTATGTCGAGTGGGCGTGCACCAAGCCCGTTTATTGTAGGTGGTTCACAAGTCAGTCCCAGATATAAATGGCCATGGATTGTAAGTTAAACTAGCCTATACATATTCAATCTGATTAGAATACAGATCTATATTTCGTTTCGTTTTTTTATACTTTCGATGGCCAACACTACATGGAGATCCGACAAGTTATAGTGGAAGTTCACGTCAGGGGTCAGTTCACGTCACTCTGACTGGGCCAATGAAGACGGGCATACGCCACACAATGGGCTATGAGGGATATTTGCCCGGACAACGGCCTTAGGGGTCTACTCTTATTTAGAATTCCAACTTCAAGGGTTAAGGTCATTTCGGGACTAACATATGGTTTTAATGGACGTTAAACCCCATCTCTCTCTCTCTCTCTCTCTCTCTCTCTCTCTCTCTCTCGAACAATGATTACTATAATTTATTTATTTAGGACGTTTTACAAAACTTAAATTTTGCGCCTGATTTATATACATGTATGAATTTACAGGGAAGTTTACGAAGAACAGGAAGTCATATTTGTGGTGGATCATTGGTTAAAAGTTTGGCTGGGGTTTATTACTTTATTACTGCGGCTCACTGTGTGTAAGTTTAACCACTTTATTACAGCGGCTCACTGTGTGTAAGTTTTATTACTTTATTACTGTGGCTCACTGTGTGTAAGTTTAACTTATTGCAGCTCACTGTCTGTAAGTTTAACTACTTTATTACTGCGACTCACTGTGTGTAAGCTTTCCTACTTTATTACTGTGGCTCACTGTGTGTAAGTTTAACTTATTGCAGCTCACAGTCTGTAAGTTTAACTACTTTATTACAGCGGCTCACTGTGTGTAAGTTTTATTACTTTATTACTGTGGCTCACTGTGTGTAAGTTTAACTTATTGCAGCTCACTGTCTGTAAGTTTAACTGCTTTATTACTGCAGCTCACTGTGTGTAAGTTTAACCACTTTATTACTGCGGCTCATTGAATTTCTTTATTACTGCGGTTTATTGTGTGTAAGTTTAACTTATTGCAGCTCACTGTCTGTAAGTTAAACTACTTTATTACTGCGACTCACTGTGTATAGCTTTCACTACTTTGTGTGTAAGGTTAACTTATTACGCCATTGTTGCGGCTCGCTGATTGTAACCTTTGCTTATTACGTCATCACTGCGGCTCACTTATTGTATGGATTTATAAATGCGACTCACTGATTTTATTGATTCATAACTGCGGCTCACTGCATGTAGGCTTTTACTTATACGGCGACTGATTATAAATTTTACTTATTATTGCGGCCCACTGATTGTAAGTTTTACTTATTATTCCGACTCACTGATTATAAATTTTACTTATTATTGCGGCTCACTGATTGTAAGTTTTACTTATTATTTCGACTCACTGATTATAAATTTTACTTAATATTGCGGCCCACTGATTGTAAGTTTTACTTATTATTTCGACTCACTGATTATAAATTTTACTTACTATTGCGGCTCACTGATTGTAAGTTTTACTTATTATTGCTTTGTTATTGCGCCTCATATCACTGTGGGTAGGTTTTGCTTATGGATTCATCGCATTGGCCGACAAAGTTCATCCAGATTTTCCGGCGTGGTTTCCCCTTGTCAGTGATGCAGAACGAAGGGCCTGACAAGGACGGCTGTCTAGTCGTGCGGGGACGAACAACCGAGGCCCCGTGTAGACATTGGCGTGCACGTAAAAGATCCCTTGGCAGTTTGAATTCGATATAAGAGTAGACCGTAGTGCCGCTGCCCGGGCAAAATTTCACTCATCGCACACTGTATGGCGTATGCCCGTCTTCATTAGCCCAGTTTAGGAGCAGAACAGTATCATATGACGTTAAACCCCATTTCATTTCATTTCATTTCATTTATGGATTCATTACTGCGAATCGTCGTGTTGAAGTTGTGATTGCGACTTTATTACGAACTGACCGTAAGTTGTGATTGTGACTTTATTACACACTGGCTGTAAGTTGCGGTTGTGACTTTATTACTCACTGACTAAGTTGTGATTGTGACTTTATTACTCACTAGCTGTAAGTTGTGCTTGTGACTTTATTACACACTGTCTGTAAGTTGTGATTGTGACTTTATTACTCACTGGCTGTAAGTTGTGCTTGTGACTTTATTACACACTGGCTGTAAGTTGTGCTTGTGACTTTATTACTGCTGCGCAATTTGTGTAAGTTCCACAATAATAAATAATAAATACAAAGTAATTTACAAGACAGTCTGCTCCAAAAGATGGAGTGATTTCTACAGAATATTTTTAAAGATGCATTATGTAAGATTTAAATAAAGAGTAGACACTTCTCATAATCCTTATAAGACATATATAGAGGTAGATTTCACAAATTAAAAACACTTATATGGATATACTACTTCTGAATTTATTAACATGCTACGTTTCGATACACATACAGATATCGTATTATTTGCTTGATAAAGATATCTGTACGTGTATCGAAACGTACGTGACAAGGAGTAGGGTCGTCTGTCCAACCTCATGGTTTTTTTCGGATCTCCTGGTTTCCTCCCACTGCTAAAGACCCCTACGCGCAAGCGAATTATTGAAATAAAATGAAACCATATGTTAGTCCCGAAATGACCTAGTTTGGGTCGAGTGGACGTTAAACCCCATCTCTCTCTCTCTTTCTCTCTCTCTCTCTCTCTCTCTCTCTAAATGTCAGGAAATACTGAATGATTCCCACGTCATTATATTTCAGCGATGGTTCCAGTGCCAGTGTCTTGTCTGTAAAATTCGGTGCTCACTTCCGACTGGACAGCTCGTCGGATAATAATAAAGTCATCCTCGACGTCCAGAAAATCACCATGCATAATCAATACAACAGAAATACCTTCCAGAACGATATCGCTGTTCTGACCTTACAGAACCAGAATACTATAATAGAATCGGATTACATCAGACCAATCTGTTTCGCTAACCAGGATCACACCGCTGGTGAAGAATGTACCGTAATTGGTTGGGGAACTTTAACCGAAGGAGGTAAATGGATACTTGTTTTTGCTATTTTGGCTATCTTTCGTCGAGAGAGAGAGAGAGAGAGAGAGAGAGAGAGAGAGAGAAATGGGGTTTAACGTCCACTCGACACAAACTAGGTCATTTCGGGACTAACACATGGTTTAATTTTATTTCAATAATTCGCTTGCGCGTAGGGGTCTTTAGCAGTGGGAGGAAACCGGAGGACCCGGAGAAAACCCACGAGGTTGGACAGGCGACCCTACTCCTTGCTACACGTGCTAACCATTCAGCCACCCAACCCCCCTATCTTTCGTCGAATACAATAAGATAATCTACATGTATTCCGTCCGCTAAGCATGTTTTAATCTGAAAATATGACCAGAAACAATTAAATTATAGACTCAAACTGCCTAATGACAGGCCCACAATAAATAACAGATCATCGAGTGGGACGCCCGGTCTTGCATCCAAACGATACTCGTCCATTCGCCATCTTGCAAGTGTATATTGTCAAAACCTCACTCTTGAAGTGTCTTGAAAGATGTAATGATTCTGGTCAGCGGTGAATTTAGATGAAAAGTAACCCTAGACTCTTTAAATCTCCCCCATACTCGAAAGAGTGCTTAAACACATCAGAGCAAAGCCGAGTACGATGGCAGTACGTATGGCAGTGTCAAAAATAGTACACACCTTGGCCGATGGCCCTTTATATAATGACGCCGTAGGCTCCAGCCCGCAATGTCTATAGTTACATCTGACACTGCTTCTAGTAGCAAATCCATTTTACTGAGAGAGACTGAGAGAGAGAGACAGAGGGAGAGAGAGAGTGGGGGGGGGGGTTAATGTCCACTCGAAACAAAGTAATTCATTTTGGAACTAACATATGGTTCAATTTTATTTCAATAATTCGCTTGCACGTAGAGGTCTTTAGCAGTGGGAGGTAACCGGAGAACCCGAATAAAACCCACGAGGTTGGACAAGCGACCCTACTCCTTGTCACGTGCAATCGGGTAATCGAAACCACGCCATTTGACTCAATGACAGACCTTCTGATACAGCGCGCACGCGCTAACCATTCGCCCCCCCCCCCCACGTATTTTACTGGTCGTTTGAGTTTGCTTTCCTATCATAGTAGACACCGGCTCGCTAGCCTAGAGGTCGTGTGTTCGATCCCTGGATTGGCCAAAAAGTTCATCCAGATTTTCCGGCGTGGTTCTCCCTTGTCAGTGATGCAGGACGGAGAGGCTGACAAGGACAGTTGTCTAGTCATTCGAATGGGACGAAAAACCAAGGTCCCGTGTACACAGTGGCGTGTATGTAAAAGATCCCTTTACAGTTGGAATTTGATATAAGAGTAGGCCGTAGTGCCGCTGCCCGGGCAAAATGTCCCTCATCGCACCCTGTATGGCGTATGCCCGTCTTCATTAGCCCAGTTCGGAGCAGAACAGTAGGACGTTAAACCCCATTTCATTTCCTATCATTAGCTGTGACTTAAGGATTGTCGATAATTATCTCTTTAACATATGGAGTAAATAAAATCCGAAGGCAAAACGCTGAAAGGCAATTTGAAAACATAAAATTGTAATCATTACAGGATCTGTATCCAGTACTCTACAAGAAGTAACTAAACCTATTCTATCTGACAGTAAATGCAGTTCTGATCTCGGGTCTAATAGTTATTACTCCAACTCTATGTTGTGTTCAGGATTGAACAATGGAGGTCTTGACGCATGCCAGGTAAATATGTCAGTTTCGCACGCGAGAGAGAGAGAGAGAGTTAGTTTAATGTCCACTCAACCCTAAATATTCGAATGGCTGACACTTCGCTTGAGTGCATAGATGCTTTGAAGTCAGTGTAAACCAGAGACCTGGGAGGAAATCCACAAGGTTGGAAAATGACAACACCTCTTGACATGACATTATCGAAACAATAATAGCCGAAAAAGATTTCACCATCATTACCGATACTTTTATTTTCACCCGAATCAAAGAGTTACAGAGAGAGAGAAATGGGTTTTAACGTCCACTCGATACAAACTAGGTCATTTCAGGACTAACATATGGTTTAATTTTTATTTCAATACTTCGCTTGCGCGTAGGGGTCTTTCGCAGTGGGAGGAAACCGAAAAACCTGGAGAAAACCCACGAAGTTGGACAGGCGACCCTACTCCTTGTCACGTACAACCGGGGAATCGAAACCACGCCAGTCGACTCAATGACAGACTTCATGATACAGCACACGCACGCTAACCATTCAGCCATCCAACCAAAGAGTAACCTCGCCTTCAAGGCAGACAGTGAGGGCTTATTTGTTTATTTCGCTGTTTAGGTTTTCTGTGTTTAATTGTGGTGTTATCTTTTTACAGGGCGACAGTGGTGGACCATTCTTCTGTGAACGTAACAATGTCTGGGAACTTGTAGGTAAGTGGTCTGGATAAGTCCTCTTGTCTCTGTCACAATGACCCCCCATAAACGAGAAAACTCTACCTCGCTTAGTATCAGGTATAGTGTTAAGTATGCATTCTCATTTTTAGGGCGTTATTTTGCGAAATCAAATATATTTTATTATTATTTTCACGTTTTACTTTAATAAGATAGTTTTATTTAAAGATACATTGATCCACTCTGAACCGAAAATTTAGCGATTGAATTTTAGGTCTAGCCTCGATCGTCATTACTAAAGTCGGTACGATAAAAAAAACATAGCCTCGAATAGCTATTTTTGAATTTAATCATCAATGAGCGTTGAGCAGCAGATCGGATTCAAATCCAGTGAAAATCCGAAACATAAGATGCTATCGAGAGTTGATTATAGTTTGGATAAGTTAATTAATGTCTAATTAATAGTTTATATAACATTTCAGGCCTTAAAAAAGACTTCCAATAGTCAGATTTAGCTTTTGAATAATGTAATTGTATTTTTAATAGTTGGTTTACTTTAATAATATAGTTTTCAACGCATGTACTATATTTTAAAGATACATTATGGGAGATTCGATAACGTGTTGGCAGTTGTCACTATATTAGTTAAAAACTAGATAACGTAAAGGCAATTTGCTGAATATTTTAGTCAAATTGATCCACTATGAACCGAGAACTAAGCAATTAAAATTTCCGCCTAGCCTCGATCATCATTACTAAAGTCAGTACGATAAACATCATAGTCTCGATTATCCATTTAATCGTTAAATCGTCAAGGAAAGTTATGCAGTAAATCGGCTCATAATCCACTGAAGATCGCAGGCTAGCGATGCCATCTAGAGTTGATTATGGTCTTGATAGGTTAACTAATGTCTAATTAACAATTTAGATACCATTTCGGGTCTAAGGAAAGACCTGTATATTTTATGTGTCTTAAGTAAACTAGTATACACTTTTGTTTTAAAGATATTTTGTTTTAATATTTTAGGTGTTGTGAGCTGGGGCTATGGATGTGCTCGACCTGGTCAACCAGGAGTTTACGCCGATTGCTGGAATCTTAGAAGTTGGGTGGATAACCAAATCAATTAAATCGCCGAACTTACCACCAAGAATAACAGAATGGAAAACAAGCATCGCTTTCAGATACATATTAAATGTTTCTTTTTATTTCACTGGTTGTGTTATAAAATACTAGATGTGTCCATGCTGTAAATTTAAAGATACATTATGGGAGATTAGATAACGAGTTGGCAGTTCTCACTATAATAGTTAAAAACTAGATAATGTAAAAGCAATTAGCTGAAAATTTCAGTCAAATTGATCCACTATGAACCGGAAAATAAGCGATCAAAAGTTCCGCATAGCCCCTGTTATCATTACTAAAGTCGGTACGACAAAAATCATAGTCTCGATTATCCATTTAATCGTTAAATCGAGAAGAAAAGTTATGCAGCAAATCGGATCATAATCCAACAAATATCGCAGGCTAGCGTTGACATCGAGAGTTGATTATTGTCTGGATACGTTACTTAATGTCTAATTATCCCGCGCCGAACGAAGTTAGGGAGGGATATTGAAATGGGGTTCGTCCGTCCGCCCGTCCGTCCAACTTCGTTTCCGGAGCATATCTCATAAACCGTTCAAGATATCTTTCTGAAACTTTGCACACATATCAACTTATTAAAGTAGTTGTGCCTTTTGCTATTTAGGAATTTCTGGGATTTATATTTTTTTGTGTTGTCATGGAAACAAAAATGACTTATTTTTTTTGTGTACAATTTTGTTTCCTGAGCATATCTCATAAACCGTTCAAGATATCTTTCTGAAATGTTGCACACACATCAACCTATTACAGTAGTCATGCCTTTTGCTATTTAGGAATTTCTGGGATTTATTTTTTTTTTGTGTTTCCATGGAAACAAATATGACTTAGTTTTTGGTGTATAATTTTGTTTCCGGAGCATATCTCATAAACCGTTCAAGATATCTTTCTGAAACTTTGCACACACATCAACCTATTACAGTAGTTGTGCCTTTTGCTATTTAGGAATTTCTGGGACTGATATTTTGTGTGTTTCCATGGAAACAAATTTGACTTAGTTTTTGGTGTACAATTTTGTTTCCGGAGCATATCTCATAAACCATTCAAGATATATTTTTGAAACTTTGTACAGACATCTACCCATTACAGTAGTTGTGTCTTTTGCTATTTAGGAATTTCTAGGATTGATATTTTGTGTGTTTCCATGGAAACAAATTTGACTTAGTTTTTGGTGTACAATTTTGTTTCCGGAGCATATCTCATAAATCGTTCAAGATATCTTCATGACACTTATTTTGAATTTCTCAGATTTGATAATTTTATGTGTTTCCATGGAAACACATTTGACTGTTCAAGATACCTTTAAAATAATTTTACCCATTATTTTATTTTCTGAAATCCAGCCTTCCGTCCTGATTTTGTTTCTGGAGCATATTTTATTATCTGTTCAAGAAATCTTTTTGAAACTTTGTACAAACATTAACCTATTATAGTATTTTATTTTCTGATATAGAAGTTTATTGTTTAAAATGCAGCAGCTAATTGAGGTAGGCAAAGGTTGTTGTGCAAACCTTACAGGGAGTTGCGATCCTGCCTTGCCGAACTACTGTGATCAGAGTATGAAATTCTGTGAATTGATATTCCATGTGTCTAAATATGAGATTTGTCTAAAGCTCCAGTTCCCTCCACTTGCAAAATATCTCTTTTTTCTATGTAGTCATGTCTAATTTTTAAAACCAGAGCTTAATGTCATAAATTATCTCAAATCTTCTAGTAAATAGCAATCAGTCATTTGTTTTCAGAAATAGAGAGCAATATCTACTAAACAGGGCCACAATATTAGGACCAGTGACACTGTTTGCGAAATTTGATACATTTTTATATTGATTACCAGTAGCATAAACAAGTTATTTTTCCTTATTTCTTCCAAACAAGTGCAAGGGCGCGGGATGTTGATGACTAGTCATCTTGTTAATAGTTTATATAACATTTCAGGCCTAAAGAAAGACTTACAATAGGCAGATTTAGCTCTTGCATACGCATTTGAATTTCTGTCCAAAATCTGCATATGCATGAAGTTCAGGGTCAGATGTCATTTTGATAAATCTACTCATCTGAGTACGCAGAATAGGGTCCGCTAATTGCCATTTAGGTACTTTACACTATTTGAAGACAGCTATGCGTCTATTTCTACTTTCAAGATAAGTTTTCATTATTCAGATCCCAAAGTAAATCCAATAGCCCAACCCCATGTCTACCGTCAAAAGTCAAAACCTAATAACTCACTTTCTTTTTTTTTATATCAAAATTGAGTTAGGACCAAGTTTGTAGTCACTGGGGTATGTGCTTCGTGTTGTTGAAATAGTTAAATTTCAATCTTTTGATTTTGTAAGCAGTTACACCCATGACACAACCTAGCAACTTCCTTCATTTGCCGAGTATGCCACAGAAAAACCTAGTAACTCAATAGTCAAATCAATGGATAAGCTGGGGTTTAATATTCATTCATTACATTTTCCTTTGTTTTCTCAAAATAAGAAAAACGTGAGTTACTAGGTGTTGCCTTTTGACGGGAGATGTGGACAGGAGTGACACTGGTGGAAATACAAGAAAGGTGGTGCGTCCAATGGCTTGGATTAACCATAAACATGACATCATCTCATGTGCACGTAAAAAGATATTGATAGCCGGAATTCCACGAATAGTATCCCAAATGGTAACTGACTGAGCAAACTTCTCATCCATGACTTTCGGAAAGTCCCCCCCTCCCCCTCCCTCCGAAATAAATCCAGTGAATCTTAATTGTATCCATTAGTCAGCCACAACTTCTTCTTTCTTGGGGCTTAGCGTTCGCTGTCACCTAGGGTGATATCGCAGACACAGACAGCCACTCATAGGTTCCGGTAATTATAATATACAACCTGGATTTTTCAAAATGTAAATCCATCAGATTAGTTCATAAATCCAATATGGCTGAATTTGGGTCAATCTGGTTATAATACAGATCTATATTTCGTTTCGTTTTTTTTATACATTTGATGGCCTAGACTGCATGCAGATCTAGCAAGTTATAGTGTGAGGTCGCGTCAGGGGTCATACGAGCGGCTTTTGACCAAACATTGATTAATCAAACAACTTTGATGTTTCTAGTGGTTTACCCCGAGTCACGTGCATCAAAAGGCCATGAACTCGCCGTAACAGACCGTTTCTTTGGCTAATCCCTCATTTTAACCAAAACGCCGGTAATATAAAAACTCTTCCCGATCCTAGTGAAGTAAAGACGAATAAAACGAAATTTTGAACTATAAAAACGAAACGAAATAGGATGTGTGTTTAAATCAGATTGAAGTTGGGGTGCATCATAGTTTCTTTCATTATACCTGTTATAGGTCAGTTAACAGGAACACCACCAACGCATGTGGAACTTTTGTAGCGTGCGTCATAGTTTCTGTCATTATGTCTGTTATAGGTCAGTTTATAGGAACACTACCAACGCATGTGGAACTTTTGTTGAGTGCGTCATAGTTTCTGTCATTATGTCTGTTATAGGTCAGTTTATAGGAACACTACCAACGCATGTGGAACTTTTGTTGCGTGCGTCATAGTTTCTGTCATTATGTCTGTTATAGGTCAGTTAATAGGAACACCACCAACGCATGTGGAACTTTTGTTGAGTGCGTCATAGTTTCTGTCATTATGTCTGTTATAGGTCAGTTAATAGGAACACCACCAACGCATGTGGAACTTTTGTTGCGTGCGTCATAGTTTCTGTCATTATGTCTGTTATAGGTCAGTTTATAGGAACACTACCAACGCATGTGGAACTTCTGTTGCGTGCGTCATAGTTTCTGTCATTATGTCTGTTATAGGTCAGTTTATAGGAACACTACCAACGCATGTGGAACTTCTGTTGCGTGCGTCATAGTTTGTGTCATTATGTCTTTTATAGGTTAGTTTATTTATAGGAACACCACCGACGCATTGACTCACTAATATAACCGTTTTATATGTCATTCTTTATCTTTATGTAAACTTAGCAATCTGTCCAATACTTTTCCAGTTCAGTCACAAATTAATCAATGTTTATTATCTATTTAGGTTGCGGTTTTCTACATATTTGTCTTTTAAAAAAAACGGGGTCAAACACATCGGCAGTCATATTGGGGGGCTTATTGACCAAAATGACAATATACGGCATGACCATGTTTAAGTTAAGATAGGGGGTAGATCCAAGAGTTCTTTGACGTGCACGCAAATGTATACATGGGATCGCGGTTTTTCGTTCCATCCGAATGACTAGACAGCTGTCCTTGTCAGACGCTCCGTCCTGTACCACTGACACGTGGGAAAAACAACTTTATGACTTTTATGCCCCAAGAATTAAGCAAACTTGATGTCATCCAATATAAAGATCTCTGTAATCTGGACGGCGACAAACTGAAACAACAATGTAATGAGACATAGTATGTTAAGAACCCCAGAAACACTAAAATGACTTTTTGTTTTACTTCATCAAGAAACAGCGACGTGTAGAGTATATCTCCATTTTTTAGCATCCATAAGAACACAATAAGCATCAATGCAAAATGCACCGAATACAAAATAAACAGCAGCATTGCTTTAACCTTTCCCCTGCATTGGCCGAGAAAGTTCATCCAGATTTTCCGGCGTGGTTCTCCCTTGTCAGTGATGCAGGACGGAGGGGCTGACAAGGAAAGCTGTCTAGTCGTTCGGATGGGACGAAAAACCGAGGTCCCGTGTACACATTGGCGTGCACGTAAAAGATCCCTTGGCAGTTGGAATTCTATATAAGAGTAGGCCGTAGTGCCGCTGCCCGGGCAAAATTTCCCTCATAACACACTGTATGGCGTATGCCCGTCTTCATTAGCCCAGGTTAGGAGCAGAACAGTAGGACGTTAAACCCCATTTCATTTCATTTAACCTTTCCGTCAATAACTTCCAAGATTTAATTTCCAAATAGAGTTGTCTCCCTTGGACATCTATACATCCAATAGTGTTGTGTCATAGTGGATAAATTGGTTTATAT